ACGAGAGCAGTCTCAACAAAACGCGAAATTTTTATTATTTTAAAAAAAACGGTGAAAAATGCGTTTATTTTATAGAAAAAACGTGATTTTTTCAAAAACGATTAGAAACGCCGAAAAAACATTGCCGTTTTCTTTGATATTAGACAGAAAGTCCGTTTAAATGCTGCCGAAGAAAAACGCGTTGATCTTCGTTTGATTTTTGGTTGTGTTTAGTTTGCTAACATTTTTGTTTAACATTGTGAATGTGAACAAGACACAGACTTGTTCTTTTCGTTTTTTCTCGTATTATTTGTTGTGTTTTCTCTTCTACAGAAACAGTAAGTGACTTAGAAGTGTATTTTATAAATCCAAGTCAGTTAATCTTAAATCATATACATAATCGTTCAATAATGAATTGCAGTCTGATACTGTCACACGTCGTAATATGTACACTTATCATACGAATGCTGGAATCTTCCGTAAATCCCATGTAGTAAAAAATCCAGTTTTGAAAAATCTCTAACGAAATGATATTTACTTTTGTTTGTTTACTAGGAAGAAGGTAGGGAACCAAAAACCTTGAGAAATGATTACATAAAGTCCGAACATCGCTTTATAGCAACCTGCCACTAATAAGTTTAAAAAGAAGGAATGTAAGACCCATAGCAACTTATATATTTTGTTAGATCAGCGCGCTTTACAGCCATTTTCATTCTCGTTTCGTTCATAGTAACATTATCAATAATTAAACAACGCATTTGATTTTTATCAACTCTTTTTCCTTAACTATTAGGTCTACTATTGGCATTATCAACGAAAATTTTAAATTAATTTATTTTCTCGACATGCATATTTCTTCAGCATAGAATAATACAAACACACAGTCTACGAAGACATCTAGTACGATCACACAAATTTCATTAATACTTCACAAAGATGATGCATTACAGTAGTGGTGTTTGGGATGGTGAAATGAGTAATGGGTTATATTCTTTTACAAATCCGGTTTTTGCCTCTTTTGCTGGTTACTCTACAGCAGCTATTTTGAAAATGTTAAGCATGGCAGCTTACACGATTGGGCAACGTTTTCGAACAAAAATATTTATTACACCAGAAGATGATGTGTACAAACAATTTCTCGACGGCTTGCCTATTAGTGGAGGTAGATTAGGTAAATTTACAGTATAATTAAAAGGCAAATAAAGTCTTTACCATCAGGACAAATTATGAAAAGCTAATAGACATAACCTTGAAACATTTTCTACTGGAATTAAAACCAAAATTCGAAACTTAAAACTCATTCTGAGCTCTTCACTCTTTTGTTTTTTCAGGCGGAAGTACCAGAGTACGTGATGCTGACGTTGAACGGGTTCGTGGTAATCACTTAAATGATTTAGAAAATATTATACCATTTGTTCTTATTGGCCTATTTTACGTAGGAACACGGCCTAAACATGATTGTGCCTTATGGCATTATCGATTATTTCTGTTTTCAAGACTAATGCATACTATAGCTTACCAAGTGCCTTTACCTCAACCAACAAGAACATTGTCATGGCTAATCGGATATGCAACCACAATCTCAATGGCTATCCCAGTATTAATTAATTAATTTATCTCTTGTAAAACGTAGACATTCACTTGTTAAATTGAAAAATCCTTAATTATATTCACTACTTTTCGATCGTGAAATTTTTTAAGATCGAACATATGTTTACGGATTGATATATTAAGCTAAATTAATATTTAAAACAACAAATTTTAGTGTAAATTAAACTCCCAAATGGTAGTTTATTAACTCTGATAATGTGTCTAATATCATATAGATGATTAAGAATATGTTTGTTCAAACATCTTTTCCATCTTAAGTAGCGAGTTAAATAGCATGTATATACCACTTCTAAACGAATGATCCAACATTTCTTTCGCTTCTGTACAAAACGAGATTTTCTATGAGGTTTGTTTCTTTTCGAATTTTCACATAACTATTCCTAATACCACTAGATTTTTCGAGCATTGACACATAAAAAGTGTGTTCGTTTTTACCAGCATCGAAAGGTACGTACCGATAGAGGTCTGCGGAACAGTCCCAGTCCCGCGTGACTTGTACGGGACCGGAACCCAGAAAAATCTTTTTTACGGGACCGGGACCTATAGGTCTGCGGGACGGTTCTAGTCCTGCGCGATTGTCCCAGTCCGGTGGAATTTTTAATAGGACCGGGACCAGGTTTTTTTGAAAACAGTCTTGTATGAAGTATAAAAATTTCTTAGTTTCTGTGCCTGTTTGTATGCAGGCAGTCGTTCTGCGAGGAAGAATTCACACATAATTCAAAAAGTCCTCGGTTAGTAATCTCATCCCATAGTGCTATTTTCCAGATTACCTTGAATTAGTGTCGCGCTGACACAGTCTGTTCAAAGTTCAAATTTTTGTAAACACAGCTAAAGCTATAAGTTTCTTCTAGCTTAAACGATAGAAAAGGAAAAATGTCTACTGTTGAAAGTTCATAGTTGAATACTATTCATTTTTATCTATCAAAAAAAGTCATCATCAAGTGTTGCAGTTGTTGCCATTTCATCGTTATCACTATCATTATCTTTTTGCTTGTTATTATCATCATCCTGCTCTTCATATTTTTGTTTTTTTTGTTAATGCTTCTGAACTTGTGTCTGCAGTAGTATTACATAAATCTTTGTAATTTACAACGCGTTGACTTTCAAACTACGGGCGCTACTTTGAAAAAATATTTACAGGACCACGGGACCGGAAGCAAGACTTTTTTTCTTCATGAGACCGGGACCAAAAACGTTTGGTCCCGCAGACCTCTACGTACCGGTTCAAATGAGAATCTAAAACAAGACGTACAATCGAGATCGACATCAGAACGTATGCGCACATATAAACAAAAATTATCTTTCATTTTGCCACCAGTTCAACAAAGGTCATTTACATTTTTTTTCGCAAATTTATCGTCCTATTTCACAGTCCTTGAGCAAAGCTCATACATAATAACACAGAGAATTTTCTAGGCTTCACAATAAGCTGTAAAC